TGTATTTGATTGTGTTTATCTGCAGTTAGTTACACGGATTCAGTTATGGGATGAAATCGGATAGGGATGAATGGGTTTAAGAGTTTTAAGAGTTTTAACCAAATGCATTATAATATAGTATAGATATATATATATATATATATATATATATATATATATATTAAAATATATTAATAAAATTATAAACTGGGGGACTGGGTTTACAAAATCCTCTCATCTTCGTCCCTTTGCAATGCCTACACATCCATTGTAATATGCTTAATAATTAAAATTATAAATTATATATATATATATATATAATATTGTAAAACTAAATAACAAAGTCGTTGTAGTATAGTGGTAAGTATTCCCGCCTGTCACGCGGGTGACCCGGGTTCGATCCCCGGCAACGGCGGTTTTTTTGCTATTTTCGAGCATATTTTTCCAATTAAAAATAAATGCATCATTTGTTGTTCATTAAATACAATCCAATGCATTCAGAGTTTGTACGTTTCCAATTTTTATAAGAATATTAAAATCAAAATCTCAACAGAAAAATACTGTACTCATTCTCAACAGCTTTTTCATTTCGAAGAATACAGTATTTAATTATATTATCGTAATCACTGCTTCTGATTGGTTACTTTCTCTTTTGATTAGAATCATGGGGTTTGTTTTTCGACCTCTAATCTTATGAATGCATTGCATTCTCAATGGAATCTTGATGGTTAAATACATAGATGACAATTCTTGCATACTGAAAATTCGATTAATAAACCTGTAAAAGCTTTCTATGTTTATCTAGTTACCGTGATTCATGAGGTTTTGACTAGTACAACGAGCTGATTCCGTAAGGAAAACTCTGATTTTTTTTTTCTTTTTTGTCATTTGACTAAAACCTTGAAAGAAAGAAATACAAATCCATGTTGAAACAGAACATTGTTATAACCAATATGACTGATTTAGATTTCAGATGTAAAAACAAACAGTTTGAGTGTTTCAGATTTCAACACCACCTCTTAAAAATCAGAAGTGAAATCAGACTTCAACACCTCTTAAATAACAAACGCCACCTTAGCCTCATTTGTGCATACGATTAAAATAATCTCCCTCTTCTCTCGATATTAAAGTTAGAGATTTCAACCACAAGGGTGATGCCTGATTGATTTAAACTTGGGCTCCAAAGGTTAAAAGTGTCTAGAGATCTCAGGTTCAAGTCCAAAAAGGAATAAAAATCTCCTTATAGCCACAGAGATTCAAATGCGGTGACTCCAAGCTACCCGCAAAAGCAGGTGGTCACTCTGAGATTAGTCAACTCGCATAACGGATTAGATATTCATGTTAATCAAAAAAAGGATTAAAGATTTCTTTAAATTTGAAGATTTCTTCCCCTTCTCTCGTTTTCTTTTTCTTTTCTACCATACATTTTAACATAACCGTTAGAAGCAAAAAGATCAGTAGATTTATAACTTTAAGGGTATAAGAGGGCCTTTGGATGGACCTTATTTTTTACACCTATAACACCACATCAACCCTACCCCTACTCATCTAATCCACTAACATAAAAATACCGGCTTTACTTTTTGGGATAGAGGTCAAATATGTATACATCGTACCCTCCAGATCCACCTCAAGCTGGAATATACTAAGTTCGTCTGATTTGATTATAGAACACCTTTTTTCGTATCTTTGTTATCAACAACACCGATAAAAGCATGAGAATAGACCACTGGGGCTATTTTCCATAGGTGTTTTCGGTGTTTCTTGTGACTCATCCCGTTGTCTGATTAAAGTGCTAGTACCGGGAGATTCGGGTGAAAATATGGCATTTTGGGAAGTGAAGATCCGAGGTGGGATCGCTGTGGGTCCCGAAGGCGTGTTGTTTGATAGGTAATGAAGAAGCATTTGTATTATTTGCGTGAAGTTTGGCCGAGAATTCGGATCCTCCTTCCAACATGATGTCACAATTAGAGCCAAGTCCTTCGGGAGCTCATCGGCACTCGGTCTTACGTTCTGTAAAACAAAATCAAGAAAACACGATAACCATCATAACGGCCGATCATGATAAGATTTTTCCGAAAAAGAATTGGTGGTCTGAGCAAATAAAAATCTGTTGTTCCCAAATCTCACGTCGTTCTCTGTCCCACCAATTATATGAAGACACATCATTATTTTATTAAATTCATTTTTTATTCTTTCTGCCCAATAAAGTGATGATATGGCCTCATTTGATTGGTGGATAGAAAAGTGACGTGGAATTTAAGGTGCATTTGGTACACAAGACAAGACAGAAAAGAACATGAATCATTTTTTCCACATTTAGCAGGAGTTTTATGTGGAACAGACTAAAACAAAGTGGAACACAAGCGTATTCCACCCCACCTCATGGAACAAGGTGGAACAAACCTATATTTTACCAATATAATCTCAAAATAAAACTTAATTCTCTTCTAGAACATCAAATACGTTTCCCTCTTTACAATTTATTCATTATTTAAATTTTATTTATTGTATATCATGCTATTTAAACTCAATTTACTGTCCTTGAATTATTACTTTTATACAGTTTCTATATTTTGGTTAATTTATGTAATTTATTAAATATTAATAACAATAAAATAATACATAAATTGTAAAAAGTAAAAACTCAAAACACATAAACTTTTTATATTTGTGTCATTTTAATCGTATTAACAAAAACTTTCTAATGGGATATTTTATTATAAAAATATTTATTGTATTATATTATATTATAATAAATTACATAATTAATTAAGATATACCAAAGATATCAACGGGTAAATTGATCATTTTATTTGTTTTGTCATGTCCAGTTCTATCTTACCAAACGTTGAACAATTGTTCAACAACAACTGTATATTTATGTTATGTACTGTCTGGATACTAAACACACCGTTAGGAACAACAGTTTTCCTTTGAAACATGTCCCACAACATTTCCCCACTTTGACATGGTCATCATGGAAGGTATTTCTGGTGACATTAAATCTTTTTGAACCTAAAATTCAACCTTCTTTTAATGGAAATGTCTTGTAATCAAATGATTAATGTATGAAGAGTAAGTTTCAAGATTTGAAATTTGAGTGGGGTTGCTTATATTCTATTCATCAATGAATAAGGAAACCCTATTTGAGTCCTTTTTTTCCTATCTTCATAATGAATTTACTTATAAACAAAGCTACATTGCTACCAAAAAAAGTCTAACTAAAAAAAGTTGATCCAAAAGGATAAGGATATGTTTTGCTCATAATAGCATCTCTAACAGATATGTTATAAAAAATACATAAATAAACAGTACTTCATGTATAAAAAAATGGTTTTTAAAAGTTTTTATCAAATGCTTTATAATATAGTATAAATATTCAAATATTTTATAATTTTAGTTTAAAAAAAACTTTATAAAAAATTATTACATATTCAAACTCATTGGTTGAAACATTAAATAAATCTCTCTCTCTCTCTCTCTCTCTCTATTTTTCTCTATTTTAACATAGTTTTTTTTAAGTACATAATATTTATAAACGACAAATGCAACAAATAAACTCACACACCCTCCTCACCTAACCCCTGGAGGTCAAGGACTAGGATACCGCTAGGCCAAAGGCCCTTTGGTTATTTTGACATAGTTGTTGGGGAAAAAAAAAAAACTCCTAAATTACAAAATCTCTACTTTAACATAGTTGTTGGAGATGTTCTAAACTAGCTGTCAGCTGAAAAGCTAGTTGTTGACTGATAAACTAGTCATGTTTGGTAAAAACTAGTTGATAAGTCGATGATAATGTAAGATGACCTAAAGGGATATTTTAAAGAAGAAAATTGAAAAAACATACGGGGAATAATTTGGCTAGTTTATGCTATCTAAATTGGGCTTTTTCAATGAACTCAAAAAAATAAGTTAGCATATCGTTGACAAAAATGCCCTTCGTACCTTGAAAGCAGCTGCATAGGCAGCCTGTAGATTTGACATGCCCTCAAATGGTAACTTGTTGTGTATGAGCTCCCACATAACAATTGCAAAGCTGTAGGCATCTACTTTGTGGTTATAATGTTTCTTTTCACCGTGCCGAAGAGTTACCGTGCTGTAAAGCTACAAAAAACCGGGTTTTTTTTTTTACTTTTTACTGCAAAATGGTCGCCCATAAGAAGCCTCGGTGTTTAGGCGAACAGAAAAATAAGGGTGCGTTTGGTACATTGGACAAGACAGAACAGGGACACTGTTCCATGTTTGGCAGGAATGCTCCACCCCCGCCTCATTGAACAATATGAAACAGACCTATGTTTTACCAATATAACTTTAAAATAAAACCGAATTCTCTTCTAAAACATCAAATATATCTCTCTCTTACATTTTATTCATTCTTTAAATTTTATTTATTGTATTTTTATGGTTTTGGAACTTTCACTTTAGTGTCCTCAAAATATTATTTTTGTACGGTTTCTATATTTTGATAAATTTATGTAACTTATCAAATACTTTAATAATTAAAAAATAATATAGAAAAGGTATAAAATGAATGGAAACTAAATAAACTTTTTACTTTTGTGTCATTTTAATTGTTTGACGAAAATTTTCTAATGATATATTTTGTTATAAAAAATATTTATATTATTATAATTTAATAATTACATAATTAATCAAAATATATAAAATACATAAACAAGGGAAATTGGTCATTTTATCTATTATGTCATGTTCAGTTCTGTCTTACCAAACGCTGAACAACTATTCTATCATGTTCTTTCCTGTTCTATCCTGTCCGGATACAAAACGCACTCTAAGAAGCCTCGGTCTAGGGGCAACAGAAAAGTAACAGAACGGTAATTATAGATTACCTCCGGAGCCATCCAACGGTAAGTTCCAGTTTCTGCAGTCATCATCTCCGTTAACGATTCTTCTCTTGCCAAACCAAAATCAGCAAGTTTGACGGATTTGTGGTCGGCTGTAAGCAGCAAGTTTTCTGAAAAGAACGATCTTTCTCAATACAAATGAAACGAGATATTTTGAAAACCGACCGTTGTTATGGACTCAATCCCGCGACTTAATGATCACAAAGAAGTAACCAAGACTTTTACTATCTTGGTTATGTTTTCATGTACTGTTAGTATGTTTTGTTTGTGTGTTGTTGCTTACTTCTAAAACGTTTTCACATTTTTTATAACATCGTTTTTCTTATTTTCAAGTTCTTTTTATGTTCTTTTTCAACAAATTCTTTTGAGCATTTCTTTTCGTACATTTTGCATAAATGAGGATCTACAGAAACAGTCGTTCTACTATTTATGGTAGAGGTCAGGTTTGTGTACATCCCACCGCCTGCCAAATGGAAAAGTTCAGAAAAACCCCATGAACTTAAACTCGTTTTGAATTATTAAGGGCCTATCCGTTAACAGCATAATAAGCTTAATGAAACTCAACTTATTCAGTCAACTATACATAACTTTTTGGTAGTAGCTTAATGATATAGAAAGTGGCTTATTCAGTAACCTCCTATGGGGGAGCTTTATGCAGAAAACTAAGTTTTTTCCGAACCTACCCCTCCCAATAAAAAACATGCTCCTTCCATGTATGAAAAAAAACCCTCCCAATCTATATAGACAGATTAATCTACACATTCTCTTTTTCCACTTTTGGTCTTCATAAATTCCTGTTCATCTTACAGAAAGAAACTTGTTCACAATAACAAGCATCAAATGTACTCTCCAAGAAATCAGATACTAAAATTCAGGTTGAAAAGCAAGCAAAACGACATGGGTTTGTTGCAAATTAACATTTTTATTCATTAATGAATACCATTCAGAAATGGTTTGTTTGTGATGATCTAATCCAGAAAGAAGTTAACAATTGGAAAAATTCCTACATTTTGCATAAGATCTATTTATAGCAATGAAGAAAGGGAGATTTACCGGGTTTTAAGTCACGGTGAATGATCCCGTGTGAATGTAGACATTCCATTGCACGAGCGATATCAAGTGCAAACCCGATAGCAACACGTGTATCCAAGCCGTTCGGCCGCATGCTCACCAAGAATTTTCTTAACGTCCCACCGGTAAGAAGCTCGGTTACTATCACCATGACGGGTTCCTTGCAAGCTCCCATGAACTGTTTTTTGTAGGAAAAAAAAGATTCAAAATCTCAAGAAATTTTAGACTATGTTTGACAACCATAAGCTAGCTTACTTTTTGAACTTAATGAAAAAACCCTGTTTAGTTAGCTATAAAGTAGCTTATAAGATAGTTTATTGATCGATACTCGAAGTAGCGTTTCAATAAGCTCGAGAGGTTTTTTTCCGGTTTTTTCCCTATTACTCCCCTTATCTGGTTTTCAATGTGTTTTTTAGGTCATTATACATTTTTATTTGACTTATCAACTAGTTTTTCCAAAACATATCTGCTAATTTTTCAGCCAACTGCTAGCTTTTCACAACTAGTATGCCAAACATAGCCTTAAAAGATCGGGAATGCTGTCCAAGCGACTATAAAGTGAATCGGGAAAAACTTAAAGTGAAATGGGGTCAAAAATGGCTATTTTGGACAATTTCCCTAAAATATTTGACCTACAATCTGTACCATAATACAACATTATCCAATTGAAGGTATCAAACAGACTACCTTCACTAGATTCTTGTGTTGCACTTTCGACAACATCGCGACTTCTCGCATGAACCGACCTTCGATCTTTGCTATCTCCTCCGGTGTATCGCCTTTATTCACAATTTTAATGGCAACTACGTTGTTTTTATATCTGAATGAATGCAAACAATCAATAAAACACAATCAAATTAGCTTCAACCGAAGTAATTATATGAAAAAAAGATCACGAATTGCCAAAAGATGCTCAAAAATCAATAACAAATGAGATCCAACTTCCCAAATTGATCACAAACTACGGATCTGTTTATTAGCAGCTTAATAAGCTTAATGGGACTCACAACTTATTTGGTTGTTTGGTAGTGGATTAATTACATAGAAAGTGGCTTATTCAATAAAGCAAAATTCTTTTTAAACCTGCCCCTTGGACTAAAAAGCACTCTCTGTCTATGAAAAAACCTGTCAAGCAAAAACATTTCCAATCTATAGAAACAGATTAATCCACACATACAACTTGATGAAAAATCAACCAAACAGTTGTTAGCAACTTAATAAGTTTAATGGGACTCAGAGCTTATTCGGTCCTGTTTGACATTGGCTAATGATACAGAAAATAGCTTATTCAGTAAGTTTTTAGGGAAAGCTTTATGATGCGAAAGCCAAAAAAAAATTAACATGCCCAATTACAAAACACCCCTTCTCGTCTATGAAAAAAAAACCCAATCAAGCAAAAAAAAAATTCAATTTATACAAACAGATTATTCCATGCTGACAACTTTACCGATATAGTATTAACGAAAAACCAACCAAACAGCTAGCCAATGGGATTTCTTAAATGAAGTCGAAATTATGACTTACTTGCCCTCGTAGACTTTGGCATGTGCACCTTCTCCGATCTTCGGACCAACAAAAAGAAGCTTCGGATCAATCAACCATTTAGCTTCCAAATCAAACTCCCGAGTGGAAAAAAACCCCTTCCCAGATCCCATTTTTCTTTGAGGATTTTTATCAAACACCTTACAAGCAGTACTTCAACAACACATTTCGAAGCTTAAACCAGACCCACAAACAAGATCAAATTACCAACATAAAGAAGCTCAATCCAACTTTAATGGCAGAGAGACCCATATCAACGAGATCTCACTCACACAAAACAGAAATTAAAAGGTTGAAATCAGATTGCCGTTGTTTGGGAGACAAAAGATAAAACCCCCCATGTTCATTAAGACAGGAAAATAACCCCACAATTTAAATAAAACTTTAAAGAGACATTGCAAAAAGCTACGAACAAGATCAATGGGTTCTCGCAGAGAATTAATGGAGGGTGAGGGGGAGAATCTTTAAGGTTTTATTGGGGAGTTGGGTTTTGAGTTATTGATCTACAAAGATAAAAGGAAAGGAATTGCGCAAAGTGTGTCAGACAGAATCGTGTGTGAATTATTTAATACATTTAAATTTTAAAATAAATTCATTCAGGATAAATAAATAAGAGTAAATTACGAATTTGTATAAATGGTTTGTTAAAATGCAAATTGCATAAAAAAAAGTAAGGGGAATTTTGATAGTTACTGAATGGTTTTATGTAGAATCATCAAGTGATGAGAATAATTAAGAAGCTCTTATGATATAATGCAAAATGAAATATAATTGTTTGGTAATTTCTTACAATAAAATTAGGACTCTTAATGGTTAAGGAAGGCTCAAAATACAAAATCATTCAGAGAGTTTTAGAACTATTAGGAGGTAGACTTTTTTTTACCAAGCAAGATTTACCTCTTAATGATTCAGAGATTGCTTCTTAATGAAACTATTAAGAGGTAAACAAACAATCCCTAAGTACTTTAACTTGATTTTTTTTAAACTTGTTTTTAAATTTTCTATTTTGATATCTAAGATGTCAAGTTTTAAACATTTAAGTATCTGGGTAACCGGTTATTATACTGATGTGGTGAGTGATGTGGTATACAACTTAGTATTATTTGCTGACGTGGTTAGTGACATGGTTTTTTTTAAATCCAAAATTAGCCTTCAACAGGTTACCCGAGTATTTAAATGTTTTAAAACTTTACATCTTAAATACCAAAATGAAAATTCTGAAAGTACGTTACCTAAAATATGAATCAAGAAAAAGTATGTTACTTTTTTATTCGATTTGCCCTTATCAAAAATAACACTTTTTATTCCTACAAGTTGGAAATTGTAAGATGGTTATCATGTCTTGTAAAAACCAAGTTTGGTCTTTCTCTCTAACGGCCAATTAGAAAAAATTGTTAAATGAGGGCATTTATGTCATTTTATTGATTTTTTTTGTTTTTTACTTAATCAAAATTAATTTTTATAATTTTGGTCTTTATAGTTTTGATTGGATAAAAGAGCAAAAAACGATGAAATGACGAAAAGGGCCATTATTTGATGAATTTTTTTTAACGGTCGTTAAATAAAAAGGATTAAATCCGAACGTTTTTACAAATCACGATAATTGTTCAATGATTTCAAAACCGTAAGAATGAAAGGTGTTGTTTTTGACAGATCCCGAAATCTTAATGATTATGTTTTTTTGAATTATAGACATCACTTAGATTTTTAATATTTTATTAAATAAATTATTTTAAAGATCAAATACTAATTTCTTAATTATAAAAAATAATTACATGTTATAATTATTGGGTTTTTAATAAAAATATGTTATTTTATTAATATCATTAAAGTATTAAAGATATTTTTTTAATATATAATTGAGGTTGATATTTTTTAATGTGATATGTCCACCGTTTTTAGTTTTTTTTATAATGGTTGAGTTATAGATGGTCTTAAAATGATATATATATATATATATATATATATATATATATATATATATATATATATATATATATATATAAATTCTTAGATTTAACAGCATTATTAGATACATGAACAACAAAAAGTGTAATTTCTTATGGTTTAGTACCTATAGAATATCATAAGAAGCTAACCTACAATTTATTTACTAGAACAATTGAAAATAGATTAATTCAAATTAAAAATTATATAGAACCAACATAAATACAATTCTTAGATTTTGCAGGAAATTATAGTATCAAATATGATATTCCACAGGTAAATATAAATCCAGAACATATTAAATCAACAGATTTTGTACTCGGTTTAAACTATATATATATATATATATATATTGTTTGAGACCAGCCTATTTTTTGAGATCCGTGAGGCTACTTTTTACAGTTGAAACTTCACAGTAAAAAACTGTGAAAGTAACTTTCACAGTCACAGCGTTTTACTTTAAAGTTTCAAGTATAAAAAATTGGTCTTACGGGTCTCATGAAGCATGTTGGTCTCACATGATCTCAAGTGTGTATGTGTGTGTGTGTGTATATATATATATATGTTTCAAATGCAACCATGTCTATTTGTGCAACCAATGCAACCCAATCAATTTATATATTTATGAAAAATAATGAGAGTTCATTTATTATAATTTGAATATTCATGAAAGATTATCTGAGTGCATTAGTTACGATCAATACTCTATATTACGAAACAATCAATTTTTTTATGAAATCACATATTCATCAAATTAAATGAACGGTTAGGATTGAGTTGTATTGGTTGTACAAATGTAAATGGTTGTATAATAACTCACCTATATATAGGTATATAGTTATAAGGTTTTCGCACATCTTTCTATATGCGTTGTTTAGCACATTTTTTACACAAACTTAATAACTCATACAAACAATATTTAATGTATTGTTTCATATATGAAACATGTGAAAATGTAATGTCATCTCATATGTGAAACGTTATAAATTGCTTTTATCACACATAATAATGCTGAACATTTTACATGTGAAATAACATTGTATAAACACTGTATTTTCATGTGTATCATTATTATTAGTATTATTATTATTATTATTATTATTATTATTATTATTATTATTATTATTATTATTATTATTATTATTGTCAAAGTAAAGTTCATTTTTGATCATTTTCATCTGATTTTTAAAAACTCTGATTTGATTCCTCATGTTTGTTAATCTATGGTAGTTTTGGTCTCTTTGTTTAACGGTCGTTAATATTTTTTCGTTATTTCGGTTAAATGAGTGGTATTTTTACTATTTTTTTAATTTTATATTAAAATTAAAAACATATTTTAATCTTTAATTTTAAATTAGAAAATAGAGAAAAGTATAACCACCTCCTTCCCTTTTTTTTAATTTCAAATTTTGAAATTTAAAATATATATTTTTTATTTTAATATGATGAAAATAACTAAAATACTATTTATTTAATTAGTCTTAACGGATAAAGTTAACGATCTTTAGACAGAAAGATTAAAACTGTTGAGAATTGACAAACATTAAAAACTAAAATTCGAGTTTTTTAAGTTTATAGACGATATCCATTAACAAATGTAAAAATTATTTAACAAAATTAAACTCTAATCACATTACTACTACTACTACTACTACTACTACTACTGCTACTGCTGCTCCTACTGCTGCTGCTGCTGCTACTGTTGCTGCTGCTACTGTTGCTGCTACTGCTGCTGCTGCTGCTACTGCTCCCACTGTTGCTGCTACTGTTGCTGCTACTGCTGTTGCTACTGCTGCTCCTACTGCTGCTGCTACTACTGCTGCTCCTACTACTGCTACTACTACTAGTAGTAGTAGAAGGGTACTCACGTAATGCAACGAGATATATTTTTATTTTAATGTTTATTTTTTATTATGTCGCTGTTGAGATAATACAATTTTATGTGGTGTTGAGAAAGGGATAATATTTTTATTTTTTAATGAAATATAAATTTAAAGATAACATTAAAATTTGAAAAAAAAAATAGATATTAGTATCAAATTAACAATTTAATAGTTTTTGTTTTTTTGGTGTAACTTCTTAATTCAATTTTTTATTATAATTTAATTTAGATTTAATAATAAAGTAATTTATTTTTGGTTTATTAATATAATTCTTTATAAAGGATAATAATTGAATATTATGTTAGAACTCAATAATTATCTTAATTATATTTTAGATTTTTTATATTTAAAATGAATGTTTATCATGTATTTGATTATGTTTATCTGCAGTTAGTCACACAAATTTAAAAATAGAACTTTAATAAGCTGTAATTACGTGAAATTACTTGTAATCTTGAATTTTAAATAATATACATCAATAAATAATATTTCACGCGTAAAAAATAGATTTTTTAAGAGTTTTTGTCAAATACTTATAATACAAATTATTATTATTATTAGTAATATATATTTATTTTTATTTTATTAGCTTTAAATAAAAAGAAAAATAATAATATTATACAATAAAATAATTACGTTCACATTGTGTTCAAGATTTTATGTCTCCGTGGGTTGCATCCCACCGCCTTATGGACAAACGTGGCGTACGACCAACGGGGATGCGGATGATTAAATATTAAATATTAAATATTAAATATTAAAACTTTTTATCATAATTTTTTAATTAATTATTTATTTATTAAAATTTATAAATTTTGGGGAAAAATATCATAAAATTTAAGGTGTAAATAGAGACGTTTTTTAAAGGATGTAATATTATATAAGGCTTTATTTCAAATATATATAAATTTATAACCCGAGTGGTGAAGCGTTACGACGTATCATTTTCAGTTAATAAACAGATGCATAAAATCAATAACCAGAGCAAAACTTAATAAATTATTGTATGTTTGTATAAACCCAGACGAATAATAGTCTGATATAAAAGGAAACGAGAGTTATAAAGTTTAGGCAATTAATTAAAATAACTATTTTTAGATTTCAAATTCATCTTTTAGTCAGTTCTCTCTCTGAATCGTTAAATGAATCTTGTTTAACAAAAAAAAGTTTGTCTTTTAATAGTTTTAAAACTCTCTGAATGGTTTTGTATCATATACCTCTCTTAACCATTCAGCGCCATAATTTTATTATAAACAATTACCAAACAATTGTATTTCATTTTGCATTATATCATGAGAATCTTCTAATCATCCTGACCATTTAATCATTCTACACCAGATCATTCAACAACTGTTAAACAGTCTTAAAATCTAAAGTTAATTAAAAACATAGAATAGGTATTTGTCCTCTCTAACTAAAAGTTGGACATCAATATTATTGACTTTCGATTTGTCATTTTATGACAAGTATACACTAAAATTCTGCCCAATAATTTTGAGTCATTTTATAATATAAACTTATTTATTTGATAATGATTAGTTGTGACTAAAATACATTATTTTAGATATTTAAAAGGTTTATATTAATTTTTTTTTATTAATCTGGATATTCATCCTGCTATGCGAATCGACTAATCTCAGGACGATCACCTGCTTTGCAGATAGCTCAGAATCACAGCATTTGAACTTTTGTGGCCACAAGGGGATTTTTGTTCCTAATTGAACTTGAACCTGATACCTCCTAATACTTTTTGACCCTTGATTCAAGCTCAAACCAATTAGGCACCACCCTTATGGTTGGTTTATATGAATTCTTTAGTCTTAGAATTGTGTCAAATCATGTATTGTATATCGTAGGTGTTGATATTGATATGTGTGGAAAAAAAATTAGTAAATATGGATGCATTTAACCCACCCTATTTAAAATTGGGTATGCTAAATGCACCCATATAATATATATATATAGACTAAGGATCAAGTGAGACTAACATGTTTTCATGAGACCAGTTTTTTACACTTGAAACTTCACAGCAAAATGTTGTGAGGGTAACCTTCACAGTGTTTTTGCTGTGAAGGTAACCTTCACAGTATTTTTGTTGTGAAGGTTCGACTTTTTTAAACATTCACAGTGTTTTTGTTTTGAAGTTTCAAGTGTAAAAATATGGTCTCACGGGTCTCACGAAAACAACTTAAACCCAACCCTATATATATATATATATATATTACTAAATATATTTTTATGTACTAATATTTTTTTTCATGCATTATTTGATCTCATTATGATACGAAAGGGAGTGCGTATAACATTACCTATTTAAAATTTAGAGTAAACTACGTTTTTCGTCCTTATGGTTTGTTAAATATTGTGATTTTCGTCTATGTGGTTTAGATTTTGCAGTTTTCGTATCAATAGTTTGTAGTTAATTGTTATTTTCGCCTTATAATTTACAATTTATTATTGTTTCGGTCTTTATGGTTTACATTTTTTTTACTGTTTTGATCCCTTATACTTAAAAATATGAATTATTTTAGGAACAAAAATAACAATAAATTACAAATCATATGAACAAAAATCACAATCCTAAACCACAAAAACAAAAAAATCAAAATTATTAACAAACCATAAAGATTTATTCAAAAATTTATATTTACAAGCACACAACTGATAAAACAATATATTCTGATAACTTGCTTTAAAAAAAAACACTTTAAAATCTTATATGCATCGACTAATTCTCTAGACAACTACAATTATATGAGGTTGTTTGTTTACCTCTTAATAGTTTCATTAAAAGTCAGTATCTGAATCCTTGCGAGGTGAATCTTGTTTAAGAAAAAAATGTCTACCTCTTTATGGTTCCAAAACTCTCTAAATGATTTTGTATTATGAGCCTCCCCTAACCATTCAGCTCCTTAATTTCATTGTAAACAATTACCAAACGATTACATTTCATTTTGTATTATATTATGGGAGCCTCTTAACCATTCTAATCATTTAATTATTCTGCATCAAACCATTCAACAATTGTCAAACAGCCTTTAACCGGTAAACTATAACCCAACTGATAAATAAAAGTATCTATCGATCTGAATTTTAACAATGTTCGAATGAATAATGTTTTATTTTTCAAATTTTCATTTTTTATTGTCTATAATAAATTTTTTTTTATGTTGATTAAATTAATAAATATATGCAATTAATATGATTATAAATAATTTTGTAAAAATAAATAATTGAGAAAATAATTAAAATGATTATTTTATTGGGCGGATGGAAAAAGAACAAAAGGGTTGGTTTGAAAAGGCATGTCGGTGCTTATTATAATTTTATCCTTTCACATTCCAAAATCAAAATCTTTGACTTTTTGACTTTTTCCAAAATTCTACCACGAGTTTTAAGCTTTTAGCTCTTATTTCAAACGTATATTCTTCATAAATTTTATTTATTTTATCAGAAAATATTTTTTATTATTAATATAGACTAAAAGGATACTCGTATAATGCAACGGATATATCTCGATTTTAATGTTTTGTTTTATTTCATCTCTAAAGATGTTTTAATACGATCTTTATGTGGTTTTAAAAAAAAGCTAATGTTTATTATTTTTTAATAAAATATAAATTATAAGATATCATAAAATTTTGAAAATAAATATATCAATATTAGTATCAAATTAATTATTTAAAAGTTCTTGTTTTTTTGTGTAATTTATTTAATTTAATTTTTTATTATAATTCAATTTAGATTTAATAATGAAGTAATTTATTTTTGATTCGATAATATAACTTTTTATAGGGATAATAATTAAGTAGTATGTTGGAACTCAATGATTATCTTAATTATATTTTAGATTTTTTATATTTAAAATGAAATGTTTATCTTGTATTTGACTATGTTTATCTGCAGTTAGTTATGTTAGTTCAAACATGAAGTTTTAATAAGTTGTACTTACCCACATTTTATTTGTAACCTTAAATTTTAAGTAATATACATCAATAAACAGTACTTCATGCATAAAAATGATTTTTAAGAGTTTTTATTCATTATTTTATAATATAATATAGATTATTGGTAAACGTCTTTTATCTGATAAAAAAAATTCTCTCTCACTTATCAGATAATTTTTTTTGTCCTTATCATATTAGATTATTACTTCAACAGATTTTCTAGAATGTTTTCTGAAACAAAAAAAACATGGAAAAAGAACTCCAAGTTTAGAAAATTTCTCTAAAACTTGATGTTAAGAGATTAATGATCATTGTATTCAATTCCACCAATGAAATTAAATTATTATTTTTTTATATTATTTTTTTAAAGTATATTGGAATGATAAACTATAAAATATTATAATAATATAATTTATAATGGAATATCTAAAATATAAAATATACTATAGTTAAATGTAATTCTTTTTAGAGATTTTTAACGTTTGGTTCTCTATTTTAGATAAATTATAAAGAATCTATTGAATATGTTTTATCTCCAACAAATTCTAAAAAATATAGATTTTTTGGGATTTTTACTCGAACAAAATTTTCAAAACCTTCAAAATGTAGAGAATAATAAAGTGAGTAAAATTCTCCAAATTTGAAGAACTCTTCAAAAATAATTATTTTTTTATTATTTCTAGCAATAAAAGTTCTTAAAATTAAATGTATAAAAAAAAATCTATAAAATGAATATATAAAAGAAAATTGAATGAAGAAGTTATTATAATCCCTAAAATGAAATTAAATGTATAGAAATAAAAATTAATAATTTATAAATGATATTAAATATTAGAATCTCTAAAATAAGAAATTATTAGAAATAAACATAATTTTTTTTGATTTTTTATTTTAAAAAATCAATTAAAAACTACTTTTCAAACATAAAATGTGATTAACAACACCTTTTTGGAGATGATATAATTAGTCCGTCAAAGGATCAAAAACACGTGATTATAATAAATAATAAACAATAAACAATAAATAAAATAGGATGGATGTGAGAAGGTTGGTCTTCCACTTTTGACATTTTCACTTGTTTTCCATATTTTCCAAAACAATCTTTTCCTCGACTAAGTTTTCAAAACATACTATATTAGGTTACTTTAACATGAGACCAGTTTATTTTTGTACGACCTGTGAAACCATTTTTTTACACTTGATTATTTACAGTAAAATGTTGAAAAGATAACAAAGTCGAACTTTCATTGCAAAAATACAGTGAAGGTTACCTTCACAACGTTTTGCTGTGAAATTTCAAGTGTAAAAAAAGTGGTCTCACGGGTCTTACGAAAACAGACTGATCTCACGTGATCTCAAGTCTATTTTTTTTTATTCTTCCTCATAAAAACACAATTTTAAAAAAGAATAATTATTACATTTTTAATTGACTAAATGACAATTTTACCTTTAATAATAGAAATAGTAATCAGGTTCATCATCTCAAAGTTGAGGGTAGAATAAGAAACTATGCACTAAACTTTTAAAAATTGACACTTATTCCCAAACAAACTAGAATAGAAATATAGATACTTATTTTAGAACAGAGAGAATAACTTATTAATAAAACATCGATGGGTTAGCGACAAAATTCAATCATCTGATGCTCAAGTTCTGAATCTCTACTTTCATATAGGGTTTTCGGCATCTATAGAAAGATCATACCTTTGACAACCCGTAAATAGGTGTAAAATTTTGGGATTTCAATATAATCAAAAGTTCCTAGTCTAGATAGATATTCTATCTCCTGGCTCACGATCCTTTACCTCTAGAATTCCCTTCCTCTCGTAAAGACCGACTATACAGGTCTCCACCCTTAGTCTGTTACTCTGATTTGCATCTCCAAAAACTCCTATCAATTGTCATGTATTCATAAATGCCTAAGTCTTTCCATATTTATCCTCAGTTGTTCATCTCACGTCATCCTTGATCTACTCTTACTACTTGTGCTCTCGACCCTCACGCTTTCTACCCTCCTCACCAGGGCAAACGTGTCCAAACCACCGCAGTCTTTGTTAGATCCAACGGAACAAAAGTTACTTATAAGTTATAAGAGACTGAATACCTCATCTCTCATATGCGTTCTAAAACTGTAAGTACAGGTGTGGACAAAGCGACCATATCTAGTATGGTTAGCCTCAGATGTTACAGATGGTATATGAACTAGACTCATGTGCAAGCAAGGATGGTGGGCTTCCAAGGGGGGTGGACTATAAGATCCCACATCGATTGTGGAGAGGGACAAAGGTTGCCTTATAATGAACTAGATCCTCTTCTATCATACACATTCTAAAACCGTGAGTCCAAGTGTGGACAAAACGGACAATGTCTGTTACAGTTAGCCTGAGATGTTACAGTCTTCCCTCCCTCGACTTATCCATGATAAGCGCAACTTCCCACTCCCGCTCGGAAGACGTCACAGATAAAAATCAGTACAGAATGTAGCTAATTACATAGATAACCCCCCCATAGATAACAATTTGTACCAGAAAGAAATCACTATATTAGCATATTGTGTATAACAACGGAGAAAATACACACAACATTTTGTGTTCAAATACGCCGACTAAGATTGTCGGTATTTGGTACGTACCTTCGTATATACGCGGCTGTGAAGTTCGTTTACCCCTTATATTTGTACTTTCCACATCTCATCTCGACCGTTTATAAAAGCTATAGGCCACAGCAACTGTTACAATGGCTACAACTAGAGCAGCGGTTGTAAACACCTCATGTTGCTCCCATTTCTTCGTTAAGAAATCAAGTTTACCGGCAGGTTTCTTTACCTCCTTCTCCGTTTCTGTTACTATTTCTGTCTTCTCGTCGTCTCTGCAGCATGAAAACCCATTGGCACCTTGACAACAACCACCGACGTTTTCTTTTTCTTTCTCTTCTTTGATGCCGTTTGTTCGGTTATCGATCTCGTTGACCTCAAGATCGTTTCCATTTGGAAGTGTTGGTTCAACTGCTTTCTGAGCTTTCTTAACGGGAGGAACACCCATTTGACCCCTACAAGTGATTGAACGTGTAAGAATATGTAGAATCTCATTAGATTACTTTCCAAAAGATCCCCTAAAGAGAGAAAGAGGTTCCAACATATATTGAGAAGAAATGATCCAAGTCTAACCGACATGAGACTGCTACATGCCCCCTCTAGGGGTGTAATGAGTTGAGCTACTCAAGCTCAAGTCGATCTTGAACACAAAAGAGAACTCAATTAAAGCTCGTACTAGATCTCGATTAAAATTTTCAAGCTGAACCGAGCCATTCATGCATATACTTTCTTGAGCCTAACATGCTCATATGTTCATATATAATACAATAAAAATATAAAAAATATGACATGTGTGCCAATAAACGAGTTAATCGATCATAAGTATGGGCCCATAATCGAGCTCGATAACTCAAAAAATATTTGAGCTCGAGCTTGAGCCCTACGTTGAAAAAGTTATTCAAGCTCGAGCCGAGGTTGGTATAAATTTTTTCGAGCCGAGCTAAAATAACCTACTACTCCATTCGCCCCAGAGATTAAATTGGCACAGATTGGCCCAGAGAGTGAAGAGGGAGCAACAGCCTAGACAAGCTAGTATAGATTGTCCCACATAGTGTCGAGTCCCTTGAGTGGTAGACACTTGACTTGTTTATCATGTGAGAATATGTGGAAACCCATTTAATTACTCTCCAAACGACCAAGGACCGAGTCTAGGACTCCAACACGTCCCCTTCCCCACCAACAGATGCTAAAAGAGACGAATTACCTATGAGCGTCGGCTAGAGCCTAGACGAGCTAGTACAGATTGACCCACATAGTGTCAAGTCCCTAGAGTGGTAGACCCTGAATTTGATGTCATGTGAGAATATGTGTAAACCTATTTAATTACTCTACAAATAACCCCTAGCGCAGAGAATGGAAGTTCCAACATATATTGAGGGAAAAGTGTTCAAGTCTAACCGATGTGGTACTCCAACGGAATGAATGTTAGTTCAAATCATGGGGTATTGATGCTAGAACAAAAAAAGGAAAGTTGCTACTATTTAAAGCATGCAGCTCGTAGAATTGGTACTTTTAGAAACTAAATCAAATGGCACAAAGTATATGGGTGACATCATACCAGGAGGCCAAGAGTACAAACCTCACCAAAGGTCAGGAGTGTGCATGAGTATTTACAGTGTGTGTGTCTCTCTATATATATAATATATATATAATACTTCAAAAAGAACAAACTACCATATGCACGAAGAAAGTACCTCCAGATCCTTTCGATGATTTCACCCTTTCCAATGTGTTGGTCAAGCAATGCAGGCACATCATTCGGGGTAGCATAACCATACCTAGACACAGGAACAGTACAAGCTATTAAAACATAAGAAGAACGAATAAAACCCAAGGTTCTAAATGACGTGAGCCATAGCAGGCGGCAAGGTCAAGCCTTACATGCCACGGCAAGGACGCGGCGTTTTTCAAGGTGTGGTATAAGACGACAAATTTTTATGTCTTATATAAAATTATATATATATATATACACACATATTTTTTACATATATATATATATATTATATTATATGAGATTATGATATTTAAAAATTTACATTCATATTAGGAGTAAATTACGACTTTCATCCCTGTGGTTTGTTAAAAATTGCGATTTTCGTCCTTATCATTTACAATCTATTGCTGTTTTGGTCCTTGTGGTTTACAATTTTTTACTGTTTTGGTCCCTCGTACTCAAAGGTAGGAATTTGTCCAGGGACAAAAATAGCAATAAATTGCAAACTAGAAGGATGAAAATGGCAATTTCTAAACTACAGGGACGAAAATCGAAATCATTAACATACCACAGGGACGAAAACAGTAATTTACTCTATTAGAAGAAAATTCATATACATTGTAGTATTATATAAATAGTCTTTTTGATTAAACATTCAAAATAGAACCTGGAAAGGTAATTATACAACTTCGTTTTCGTCATGAGTTCATGACTTGCGTGAATTCCTGAAACTGTAAGTGATGTGATCGGGTAAATCTATAAAAGTGTAAAACCTAAAGTGAAAAGTGTAAATACAAAAGTTAAATTTTTTAAAGAAAATAATAATTTTTTTGATAAAAGTCAAGCCTTGTAAAAAACGCACACTATGGCACACATTGGCATGAGCCACGCCTTACAGAAACGCTATAGGCCTTATCATAAAGGCGGAGAATATACTATCTTACCAATGACCACAAACTTGCTCATCTTGAACACTATAAATGATCAAGTTTCCTGCATACTTGTGACCGCCAACATGTGAACAAGCACTCACAGAAACATTCTTTAATCCCCTTAGTTCAGCCTCCTCTTTGAATTTCTTGATTAAAATCGGTCCACAAACACCACACCTTCTATCTCGACTATTATGAGCGCACACAAATACGTGTGATCCCGTCATCGTCTCTTGAACTCCTGTAGACCATGGTTTTACATTCACAATCACTTCGTCCACAAAACTATTAATGTCTGATTCCTTCAATCCCCTTCAATCACAGAAATTTAAAGTGATTAAACTATCAAATCATGTTAGCATTACAGACAATGAGAAGATCATATGTGCAGAAGGTTTTACTTCCTAAGAATGACACATTTTATGAATACAAGATATTACAAGGTACAAACCAGCATATATGTAATTACTTGACCATCTCAGGGCCAGTTTGTTAGCAGCTTAATAAGCTTAATGGCACTCACAACTTATTCAGTCAGTTATACATGATAATGTTTGGTAGTGGCTTAATGATATAGAAATTGGCTTATTCAATAAGCTTATAGGGAGGAGCTTTATGCAGAAAGCCAAGTCTTTTTCCAAACCTGCTCTTCCAATTAAAAAACTCGCTACTTACATCTATGAAAAGAATTCCCAAATAAAAACCTTCGCAATCTATACAGACAGATTAATCCACGCATACAAGTACAACTTTATCCATACAGAACTTAATGGAAAACCAGCCAAACAGCAACATCTTTATGTATCTGACTGTGTGTAAAAATGTGTGGTATGTATCATATAAAAACCAACTGATATTCTATTTTTCTTTTTAAAGCTTAAAGAAGATGTTTGTTTTATATAACATATTACTTTATAGTTTATAGTATTGGGTCAACTTTTTTATCAAGCACCACATCGGCACATCTCATCTTTCATATTTCTTTCGTAAGCTCCTTCTGTCCCACAAAAAGTAGAAAGTTTCCTTTTAGGATGTTGAATATATAAGTTCTCTATTTGTTCACTATTATCATTACTAATAACTGACGATATAAATTTGGGTTGATAAGAACTCTTTATTTTTCCTTAATTGAAGAGCATCAATAGATATTCGACAAAATGCTCAAGTACTTCTTTTAAACCACAAAATAGTCACACACTTCCTTCGGATTCCATGTGAAGTTAGACATTGCAATTTTCATGAGTAGAATTCATAAGATTAACCTAACAGCTGCAAATCAACTGCAAATGGAAACTAATCACTAATCACCTTGTACATGAACATCAAAATAGATCCAATTGTTCAGAAGAAAATCTCGACAAGCAATTCTTATCAACATTCAAAGACGCTAGAAGCAACAAACAAACTTGTAACTATTAATCTCTTCTCTTAAACATAAATATATATCAAGGCATCAAGCACAGAGTTGTCAACAGCAGAAAATTCTCATAGAACAGATATCCAAACAAGTCGTATGCCAAATTCTATTCAGACGTTCATACTAAAAAACGCAACAAGCGATAGATACAAACCTAATCATCGATTCATCACCAAAAACTTACCATTATCTGTTGCTTAATCCTCGAAACAACAGACCGTATTAATAAGAAGAATCGCCAAACAAATATCAAGTTCAGAAAAACATATATACCTAAGTTACTAAGAAAACTAAAACCCTAAACCATTCTTACATTACCTGTACTTGACCATTTCAGGAAAAAGCAAAACATCTCCATCTGATAACTCTGTACCTTCACGACCTTCGCATATAGTCAATAGAGTCTACAAAATCCAGATCACAAACAAAACAACGCTTCACAATTTCCAAAATCGCAACAGAACAACGGCCTAACAAAATCAACGTATATACAGAGAAAAATAACCTTTACAGGAATGTCGTTCTTACGAGCTTTAAGAGCTCCGGCGAGAAGCTTAGGAAGCGGATGCGAATCGGACGATTCAACTCGAGAAGGCCACGTCTCGTGAGTTTTGTAGCAGAGGATAACATGACGGTCGTAAGCGATGGCGGTTCCGGCGAGTTTCTCGGTGTACATCTCCTTCCGTAGGAATCCGAACTTGACATTGTCGTCAACCACCGGAGGTTCGGTAGAGATGTCGGTAGCGCCAGTCTCCGGTACGGAGGACATTCCGGCGGAGTGAAAGCGATGGGAGGTAGAGAGATAGGAGGAGATAGAAAATTGAACGGCGGGAAAGCGGGTAAGATTTGTTCGCGTTTGGGGGTTTTCAATAATTCATTTGGTAGTTATCGATGAGTAGCGACGGTGGTAGGTCATGGAGAGGACTCCTTTGACTCTCTCCCTCACCTTGTGTTTTTGGATGTCGAAGAACAATGCACGCGCCATTTCTATAGCTTAAGGTATCTTCTCATGGAACTCATCGTAAAATAAAACCGAATTTCCGGTTGATAAATGTTTGGTCCAGAGGTTTTTATAATATAATGTAAAATGAAATATAATTATTTTATAATTATTCAGAATGAAATTAGGTTGTTAAATGCTCAAGGGAGGCACAAGATTTAAAATCATTTAGAGGGTTTTAGAACTATTAAGTGGCAGACTTTTTTTTGTCAAACAAGATTTACCTTTTAGCGATTCAGATGTTGTCTTTTAATAAAACTATTAAGAGATAAACAAACAACATATTCATGATAAAACACTGTGGATACAAAAAACACTGAATCCTTATAATAAAAACATTGTAAACGTTTACCTTTACAGTGTTTTATTGTGAATGTTTAGTGTTATTTAGGGGTTGTTTATTTCATTTTTTAACAGTTTAATTTGACTTAAGGGCTGTTTGGTTGATTTTTCGTTAAGTTTTGTATGGATAAAATTGTCTATATTGATTAATTTGTCTGTATAAATTATGAATGTTTTGTTTATAAAAGTTTTTTTATAGTGGAATTAGCTTGTTTTTTTTTATTAGGATGAAACAAATTTGAAAAAAAAAAAATAACTTTGTTTTTTTGCATAGAACTCTGCTCTAATAGCTTACTGAATAAGTCATTTTCTAAATCATCATGTCACTATCAAATAGTCATGTATAGCTAACGGAATAAGCAGTGAGTCTTATTAGGCTCACTAAGCTACTAACAAACATGTCCTTACATTTTATTGTTTAGCTATACATAATTGTTTGTTAATGGTTTAATGATATAAAAAGTGACTTATTTAGTACGCTTTTAAAAGGGACGTGTATACAGAAAGTCAAGTTTTTTCCAAACTTGTCTCTTGCAGTTAAAAAAACGCTCATTTGATCCATAAAAACACCCCGACAAAAACTCAACCAATCTACACAGACAGATTAATCAACGCACACAACTTTATTCATACATAATTTAACAAATGACCGATCAAACAAACCTTTAATATTGTGAAGATTTATGGACCATTTACCAGACGCTTACTCAAATAAGTGAACATAAAGTTACAAACTTACCGGATAAATATGTTAAGAACCAATAATCTTACTCGGTAAGAGCGAAATAAAGACCAAGAGTCTTACTCGGTAAGAGAGGGGGGACGACTCTTATCACGGTAAGTGTTTACCAGGTAAATTGTTGCATAAGATATTGTTTTGATGAACTAAAATCTTATCTAGTAAGTAAATAATAGTGTTAAATTTTACCGATAAACATTTATTGAATAAGTCTTCAGTAAACGACCCTTAGTTCTTTAATTTTATATTACTTTATATCCTTTACTAAGGGGGTGTTTGAGATTGTTCATTTGAAACAACTTATTATTTCCTAAAAAAAACATTTATCAACTTATTATAAGTTAAAATGTATAACTTCTTCAAAAACTCTTTATTACCGGTTTGGCGCCGGTATAAGTTGTTTATCCAAACACTCAAAAATGCTTATTACCGATACCACATCAAAATAAAGCAATAAGTTGTTTTTATAAGCAATCCCAAACACCCCTAATCTTAATAAAATATCGTATATAAAACATATATTGGATAAGGTACATGACACGTGTCTAGTATCAATTTTGTTCTCACTTTCCTTATTCTGTGGATGAGATGTATTTTTATTTTGTCATAACCCGTGATTCCAACATGTTTGTCGACGACTACGATTCAATCAGGGATTCTTTACAACCATTCATAATTATATTTCCTTTTCTGTTTTTGATAAACAATAGAGTATTCGTATAATACAACGAGATACATCTTATCTTAAAATTTCTTTTTTTTTATATAATTTTTTTAATTTATTTTTTCTTATTTTGGTTTAATAATATAATTTTTTATAAAGATAATAACTAAGTATTTTGTTAGAACTCAATGATTATTCTAATTATATTTTAGATTTTTAATATTTAAAAAGAATATGTGTACCCTTTATTTGATTATATTTATCTGTAGCTAGTTATACGAATTCAAAAATGGAGCTTTAATAAACTGTAACTACGCATAATTTATTTGTAATATTGAATTTTAAGTAATATGCATCAATAAACAATAGTTAATATAGTATAGATGGTTATAAATTATTAGCTTGTAAATTTACAACAATTGAACTTTTTATAAATATAATCTTATACAGTTTGATTCAGTATTTTGTCGAGCAATTGCATCTTTAAGTTGAATCAGATGTCGACAAAGTCGTCTGTTGTCTTTTTAGCAAAACCCTATCTTTTCGAGAGATTTTTTTTAAACGTTTGGCAAGGAAGATCATTTGAAGGTTAACAAGTTTATAACACATGTAATGATGCATTGAAAATATTCATAGACAGAGAGGAGGAGGAGGAGGAGAATGTTTTATTTGAAAACCACGTTATTTGTACAAACCGTACAAACCTCAATCATAATTTTTTATTTTGTTCATTTTTTTGTAATTATCAGAGGTTGATTAATCATTTTTATTGTGGAGGGTGTTAATCATGGATATCATCATCTTTATTATATTAATTTTAAAGAAATACATTAAACAGTTTCATCAAAATTTCGTAAGTATTATATGAAACAACTTCATCAAAAAAAAATATTCATATAAAACAATTTCATAAGATTAAATAATTTCATGAAAAAAAAATTCATAAGATTAAACAATAAAATTGACGGATAAGAATGGTTTACACAGTTTATTTAAGTTATAATCGAGGAGGAGGAGAACTAAGGAAGGTGATTTGTCCCAACTTGATTAGGGACAGGGATTCCTGTTAAAACGGGTCATGGGGTCGAGGCCAGGGGCTATATTACTCAAAACTGGGGTTAGGGTGGGGCCGGAAATTCTCGGTAGACTCAAACTAACAGATATTTTCATGGGGTTTGATCGAGGAGGAGATGTTAATTCCCGTGCCCACAGGGGATCGGGGCCGACGCCGAGGATTACAAAACCCGGCCCGTTGCCGGGACCAATAAGAAAATATTTGCAAGTAAAAGATGAGTTACGAAGAAAACTGCATTTGCAATTTCATAAGCCAATTTAGAATACGATTAAACATAAACATAAATAGAAAAAACACAAATCCAAATGGTACCAAATCCATAAAGAAAAAACCACCTAAAAGAAGTCAATCTCTAAGTAGCTCCCGGCCGGCTTCACATCCACTCCCCCAACTTTTTCCGGTGACGGTTTCGGGACGTCCGGCGGAGTTGCGCAGCGGATCAACGCCCAATTCACGCTCTGAAAAAACGGATGTTGTTTGATCTCCGTCGCACCTCTTCGATACGCCAACCGATGTTGCGGCTCTTTCACGAGCAATCCCCTGATCAAATCCCTCGCCGCAAAACTAACCGCCGGCGAATCCGGAAACCGCAGCGGTTGTCCGACCACGTTGAACAAAGTCGCACGGTTTCCCGCTCCTTTGAACGGAGTTTTCCCGAACAAGAGCTCGTAAAGAAAAATCCCAAAAGTCCACCAATCAACCGCACTCCCGTGGCCTTCGCCTTTAATGATTTCCGGAGCTAAATACTCGTGGGTCCCGACGAACGACATTGACCGTGCACTCGTGGGTTCCGCGATGAGCTCGGGAAGCGGTGAGACTTGATTATAGATTTCGGTTTTCGGTTTCAGTTTCGGTTTCTTTTCTTTCTTGGGCTTGCTCAAGAACCGGGGGACGAAGCACGAGGGCTGGATGCAGGCCGGTTGAACCACACACGATGGCTCGATGCAAGACGGCTGGACACAGTAGCCGGAACTTTTCTGTTCCACGGTCGAGTTCGTGGCTCGGACCAGTTTTGGGTTCACAACGCATCTCAAAGATAGATCGAAATCCGAGAGCATTATGTGACCGTCATCCCGCACCAACACATTCTCCGGTTTCAGGTCTCGGTAAATGATCCCGAGCATATGCAAATACTCCATAGCGAGAAGAACTTCCGCCACATAAAACCTACAAAGAGATGGCTCGAGATTAATCGATGAAAAATGGAAATTTCAAAGATCGTAACATCGATAACTAAAGTTTTTACAACCGGATTTGCTGACTAGGTGCACATATGTATGCCATGTCAGCAATTATGATTGTGACTTGTAAACTAGTCGTTGGTTGATCAGGTAGCTAGATGTTAGCAGATAAACTAGTCACATTTTGTGAAAACTGGCTAAGATAACATTATAAAATGACCTAATAGAAAAATATAAGGAACATTAATGTAAAATATAAGGTGAGTAACTGAAATTGAGCCGAAAAAGTGGCTGATAAGTTGGATGACAGTGTAAAATGATCTAACAGAAAAATATAAGGGGGCATAACTGAAATAAATCTGACCAGGGTAGTTTAGTAATTTACCAAGTTTTGCAAATTAAACTACCCTCGTCAAAAATCCATAAAATTGGTAAATTACGAAACTACCCTTGTCAAAATCCACAAGATTGGTAACTTACGAAACTACCCTTGTCAAAATCCACAATATTGGTAACTTACGAAACTACCCTTCTCAAAAATAAACAAAACTGGTAAATTACGAAACTACCCTTCTCAAAAATCCACATATTTGGTAAATTACATACCTACCCTTGTAAGAAAATCACAGAATTGATAAATTACAAAACTACCCTTCTTAAAAAAATCCACAAAATTGCGAAACTACCATTGTCAAAAATCCACAAAATTGGTAAATTATGAAACTACCCTCGTCAAAATTGATATATTGGTTTCATTTGGTTTGGTTTAACTTCCGGCAATATGAATATCGTATGAATACGATACACCAAAAACATTTAGCAAGCGAATGAACTGAGAAAAAAAACGAACCTTGCCGCATGCTCGGAGAAATACTTCCCGGGTTGCTTTTGTCTAAGAGCGTGCAAATCTCCGCCCGGGCAATACTCCATCACCAAACACGACAATTTCTCGGTGTCGAAATGAGTATACAATGTCGGCAAAAACGGGTGATCCAACGATTGCAAAATCTCTCTTTCCGTTTGCGCCCTCAAGAGTTTATTCCTACTCGCAAGAGCCGCTTTATCCATAACTTTCATCGCGAAATAGCTTCGTGTCCCGATCAACTCCGAAAGATAAACACTTCCAATATCTCCACATCCCAATCGCTTCAAATGCCGAAAATGCTTCATTTCCAGCATTCCCGATTCATTTGTAGACCTGACGACCTGGATTGCTTCCCATCTCGAATCGTTTTGCTTATGCGGTTTGTAGGTAGCACTCGTGAAACTTCCCGAACTACTTTCGTCACTAAGATCACTCCCCGTGCTTCCTCTATAAACGCTCGTTTTATTACTTTCCACAAAATCGCAAGAAACCCCGGCTTCATTTTCGATAGATTTCTCGATACTACTTGCGGATTCGCTGATTTCCGTGTTCGTAAAGCTCTGTTTGGCTTCGGTGAAATGTGTAACAGAATATAAACTACTTTGCGGGCTCGGGCAAAACGTAATCTTCGACTCACCATGGGGGTCGGAATCTCCAATTGGCTCATCGTTCGGCGTTTTGATGGCAGCTTTTGCTTCTAACGCCAAAATCTGTTTATGGAAGTATTCTTTTGCAGTTTGATCGAGAACCGTATGCGGTCCGATAATCTCTGATTTTGATTTATTGGGTGTGAATTGATCTTTGTGGTTATGATCATAAGAACTTCTATAAGATCGTGTAGAACTGCTACCGGAAGTGTGGCCGATTTCGGGGTGTTTGGATGGGTGGTGGGGTGGACGGCTTTTTCCCGCCGGCGGCGGGTTGAACCCTAATAATGTCGCCGAGCTATGGCTAGTTGACAACGAACTGACACCATCTACAAGTGAATCCATTCGAATTAATCTGCCATAATCAAATTAAACAAAATCAAAACCCTAAAACGGATGAAAATTACTATAAATCGAATCAATTTACTCGACATTTCTAGATTAACCCAAAATTACCAAATTGGGGAAGAACATAATCCCGAAATCGATATTCAGAGAAATTCATAAATCCAACAAATTGGTTCAAATCCCACTGCAAACTGATTAACATTAAACACAGATTGAAGGATTTATGAACATAACAATGAACTACAAACAATGATTCATTCACAGAACAGAACAATAGCGTAAAATTTTCACGAAATACAAAATTTGAATTGGGGGTTTTTATATCATTCTATCAAATTCCCATTTCGTTAACAGTAAACATACCTGATTACAGATTCATAACTGTACGACGAAACCGAAAGTACAGAACTGAAGTTGGGCTGCTTTTTACAGATCCGATCGAGCAAGAGAGAGAATCACAAATGGGTGATTCGAATTTGGGGGTAATTTCAAGACCCAGAAGAGATTTCTGCAACAATTCGTCGTATAATTTAGGGTTTTAGTCTACTCTTTATCTTGTGTTTTTCTTTTTCTTAAAGGAATCAAAGAATGTGCTTCCCTTCTCTCCCTTTTCTCTTTGTACGCAAGAAGTTCACAAAGCAAGCACAAGAACAAGGCAGCTAATAAGCCGTCTTTATTTTCAGAAAGTTACACTTTGCCCCCTTTATTTCTCTTATATTCCGATAACAGTCCCTCATGTTTTTTGAAGACTTTTCTTGGTTTCCAATAAGAAAATTAAATATCATAACAAACTAAGAAGTAAAATTTAAGAGTACTATTCATATGTGAACCAATATTACAGATTATTTATATATATTTACTTTTTTAAGGGTGTCTCAGTTATGCCAAGACTAATTCCGCCAAACTGTAACTGCAAGAAATCAGTCATAATAAACTCAGTAGACACAATTGTTGTAAACGTCTGAAATCAAGCCCTAGGCAGATGAGATATTCGACAACATCTCCTTGGACCTCGATTACTACGTCATAACCCTTGTGGCTTGTACGTTCACCGTTCACACATGTCTTTACAAGTAAAAATTTTAATGATTCATATATAAAACTTGCATTATCATTTTTGTTCTTATTTTCGTACGACATTTAGGGGTTGTTTACCAAATGTTTATTCGGGTAAACGCTTACCTAATCGCAGTACCTTTCCGGATGAGTATGACAAGGGTCAAGAATCTTACTCAGTAAGAGCGAAACATGGACTGAGATTTTTACCCGGTAAGTAATGACAATGACTCTTACCACGGTTAACACTAATCAGGTAAATTGTTACATATGACGTCAATTTGGTGGATTAAAATCTTACTCGACAAGCAAGCAATAGTATTAAATTTTACCGATGAGCACTTACCGTGTAAGTGTTTAGGTAAACGATTCCTTAGCATTTTTATTTGAACCTCGTAGCAGACACACTCTCTTGTACATATATTGTAAAAAACTGCAACATATTTTCACTTCAATTCTAACTGGTTGAAGCATGTTACGAATAATCACAATATTTTTTCAAATTGTATTATTTTCAGTATGATAACCAAAATATTAGTAACAAACGAATAAAATTGAATAGCTTTACAATAATTCCTAAAACCTAGTACTTAACAAGTCACATTACCATACGGGATGAATATGACAATGACCAAGAATCTTACACGGTAAGAGCGAGACAATGACTGAGAGTCTTATCCGAAAAGTGATGACGACGACTCTTACCACAATTAGCACTTAGTGGGTAATTGTTGCATCCAATACCGTTTTGATAGACTAAAATCTTACCAGGTAAAAAAATTATGATATTAAATTTTATCGATAAACACTTACTAAACAAGTGTTTGATAAACAACCCTTTACTACACGATAGTTACAACCCTAACTTAGTTGTTTGTCTATGAATGAGTATTTATCCACATTCATTTGTCTTTATTGTATTTATTCATGTCATATCCTTTTCTGCTTGTCATAAAATGAGATATAAATAGAAATAAATTGATTGTAAATAATGTGTGCATTTATTCCTTCTTAAAAAAGCATATTTGACAATTCATTCATTCGCGCTTATTTAACAGGTATTTTTATCTGTTTATTGAAATAGACTGTTATAATTAACAACATTTTGAGTACCCTAACTAAAATTAAATAATCAGTTACAACAACATTATTAAGGTTCAATAACTCCATGTAGATCAGTACAAATTAGTTTTGTTCCAAAGACTTTCTAACTGTTTCTTGAAATCAGTTACTTTGACCATAATAGCAGTATAAAACCAATAATATATTAACAAAAAAAAGGAGAGAATGTGTGAGTTGAAATTTGAAAATCTCTCCAAAAATATTTACTGTGAGAGAGACTTTTTTTAATTATACATGTGCCGATAAAAAAACCTTGAAATTAAATCTTTAGAAGATAAAAAATTATTTTAATAAAAATAAAAAAACAGAGTTGAATATAATTTATTTTGAATATTTTAAATTTTAATTCTTTATTTTGAATAATCCGATGCAAATATTTTAATTAAGGATGTGTAAAAACTGAATAGTCCGATACCCGAACCCAAACCTCAAAAAGTAAGGTGTTTATGCAAAATCCAAATGCTACGAAATTCGAAACCCAAATTTTTGAAGGATATTTTTGGGTTCGGCTTGTGTTTGATGTTTGGCCACCTGACCTGTCCGAAAACCCGTGTGTGTGCGTATATTTGGGCGGGGTGGGGGGGGGGGGTTCACGTGAGACCAACATGTTTTCGTGAGACCCGTGAGATCACTTTTTTACACTTGAAACGTCATATCAAAACGATGTGAAGGTAAAAAAACCGAACCTTCAGAGCAAAAACACTTTGAAGGTTACCTTCACAGCAAAGTGCAAAAAAATGATGTCACGGGTCCCACGAAAACAAGATGGTCTCACGTGATCCCAAGTATATATATATATATTCTAAATCTTAGTCAACCATACTCTTTTCTAATTTCTGAACATACTGTCTATTTCATCAATTATCACCGATCAAATCGATTTAATATATATCTTTTACATATAAATATACTTGAACCCAAGTAATCCTCAACCTGACCAACAAACCCGAAACAGTTGAAATCCGAAATCCAAAATTTGGAGTTTGGTTTTCAACAATCAATTTTCTGGTTTCTCAAACATGTCTGACACGACCAACGTACACCCCTAAATTTAATAATCCAATTTCCAACAAATATAAGAGACTGTTTGTTTACTTCTTAATAGCCTAATTAAGAGAAAATCTCTGAACCCCTGCAAGGTGAATTTTGTTTGACAAAAAAAATGTCGCTTAATGATTATAAAACCTTCTGAACGATTTTGTATATTTTTTCCTTAACCATTCAACATCTTAATTTCATTTTAAACAATTATCAAACAATTATATTTCATTTTATATTATATTATAAGAATCTTTTAATCTATCTGGATATTTAATTATTTAATAACTTACAATAAAAATATTATAGTCCATTTAGTTGTCCCGTGAAGAATCAGATTGAATTTTAAAAGCAAAGTGAGAAGTAAAAAATCGACACGTGTCAAAATAGCATGTAATTTTGAAAGGACTGAAATTTTAATAAAATTAATCACATGGGGTTTTATTGTTAATTTATATAAGTGACCGCAAATGGTGCCGCCGAGCCACGTGAGCCACGTGCACCGGCTGTCTTTACCCGCTCGGCGCTTATTAATGTATTCACTAGCTCGCTAAACGACACCGTAATTATTTTACATATTTTTAAACATTTTTAGAAGTAAATTGCGGATTTGGTCCTTATGTATGCGGGGTTTATTAAATTGGTCCTTCAGTTTTATTTAATACATAAAACACCTAACAATTTGCAATTTTTTACGATTTTGATCATTGAACCAAATGGCTATATAGTATAGACGTCGTTAATTAAGAGGACATTTTAGTCTTTTTGTTATTTTCCTCTATTTTTAAGGGGGTTTCCCCATTTTTCGGATTTTTTGGATATTAATCTTTTTCATCAAGAAAATCTAAAACAATTAAAACCCTAAAATCAAAATCAAAACTAAATCAATTGCAAGTAAAATGACATAAACAGTAATTTAAATAACTCGCACCAAAATACATCCAAATCAACTATCAAATAACTACTGATCTTAAATGAGTAGAGCTCTGCTTCTTCTCTACGATCTTGTGTTAGATAATAGAGATTTTCACTGGAAGTGGTGGTGAAGAACAATGAGGATTGTTGGACTCCTCCGCTCCCACTGTTCCTTGTCTTATGTTGGAAACCTCCATTAGTTCTCGTTCTTTATTTATCAGGGTTTTTGACAAAAGGGGACGGAGGAATCAGTGTGGTTTGTTCAAACATGTCAAATAAGAGGGGTTTTGTCTATAACTAGATTTAGGACTTCATATGTGATCGATGCCCTCCATCACAAGAATCGAAAATGGAAAAGGCAAAAAGTGGGGTTTTGAATTAGATCTACAACAAAAACTGCAAAAGTTTTGGTTTACGGGTTGATTTAGATTTAGGAATCTGTTTTTTCCTAATGTTTTAGGTTCGATGCTGGTTTTTGAATTTTGTCGGTTGAGGTTTTGATTTAGGTTTCATTTAGTTTTTAGAGTTTGTTCTTGGTGTTTTAAAAGTTAATAGGAAGAAGATGAAGTCCAACAAAAAGGGAAGAAGATTAAATTGAAATCCATTTTTATGAAAATAACAGAAGCACCGAAATACTCTTGAGTTTAATGGATGAAATGGATGGTCATTTGAGGGTTGGGTTCACGTGAGACCAACTTATTTTCTTGAGACCCGTGAGACCATTTTTTTTTCACTTGCTTCACAACAAAATGATGTGAATGTTACTTTCACAGCATTTTGCTGTGAAGTTTCTAGTGTAAAAAAGTGGTCTCACGAGTTTCACAAAAACAAACTGGTCTCACGTAATCTCAAGTCGATCATATGATATAGGGATCAAACCCGAGAAAACATGTAAATCTCTAGATGTTTTATGTAATAAATGAAGTGTAAGGACAATTATGTAAATACCTACATACCCCAAGGACCAAACTTTGTAATTTACTTTTTTTTAATGACAATGTACTTTTACCATATTTATTGTTACTTTTACCTTTTAATATAAATGGTTTAGTTAAATATTTAATTTGACAACTAAATAAAAATATTATTTTATCTTATTACCATAATTAAATTTTAATAATTATTTTAATCGATATTAAAAAAATATTATGTTCACAAAAATTAGAAAATAAAGGTTCATTGTTCTAACGGTATCTGAGTCATTGACATCTTAGGAGTTCAGAAATTCAAGTATCACAAAAAGTGAGGAGGGTGTGTGAATTTATTTGTTCTATTTATCATATATAAATATTATATACTTAAAAAAATAAGTAAAAAAAGTTTTTTTCCCTGAATTTTATCAATTTTTAGGTTTAATTTTAATGTTATATTTAAATTAAAATAGTTACAAAATATTGATGTCATTTTATTTTCGTATATGATTTTGTAAGGTTATGTAATTACTACTTTACTTCAACTTGTTAAATATAATAATATA